AACTTGACATACAGACCATCCCCCAGCACAGCCAAGTGCAGACCATCTCAGACACCTGCACTCAGGCCCATGGTCCTAATCATCCTCTATGCGGACCTGCTGGGTAACGCCACAAAGAACCCAAGAAGGGCTCCCACAGGACATACAGAACATCCCACAGCACAGACCCCAAGTGACAGGAAAGAACGAACATGCTCCCTGACATGATTTCTATACAGAGGCCTAAGCGGCCAGTGCAAGGAGGGATTGTCTTTGGAATCTTATTTTCATGTTGCAAAATGAAGTAAAATTTTGTGCCCTGCTCCAAAATATCCAGATGTTAATATGAACATAATTTTTTCTTCATATGTTTTTAAGCCAAATTGTTATTGCAGCAATGCATGCTCCACAACAACCCTGCGTGCTTATCTAGTCCCTAGTCACCTACCAGGTGAGGCTGAGGCTGGGTAAGATCATGTTTGAGAAGCATTGCTCTTGAGTTTAACATTCTCTGAGAGGCCCTAGCTCTGTTATTTGGGGTGATGGGCATTGAAAATGGCATAAGACTAGTTTAAAGGCAAGTGGGCCTCTTTTTCTTGGCATGTTAGCACCAAATATCTTGGAATATTCATTATCTTAAAATCTTACTTTGGATGTAAGAAAGTTCTATGGTAACAGTCTCTAGGAATTCTGGGATTAGTGTATAAAAGAGTGATCTAGGAAACTCTTTGGACCAGTGTAGTATTTGTGGTTACAAGTTATCATAGCAAAACCATTTCTTAGAGGCCATGAGATCCTGCTTTAGGGTTCCAAGACTACCATGGACCAGTACTATGTGCTGATCGAGCTCAGAATGGAGGCTTTGGGGGCTCTAACGTCAGGGCTGCCGTTAGTCTGATTGCATAGGTTACTTAGGTAAAAACAGAACTTGAGTTTCAAATGCACTGGGCCAAGAGTGACTCTTCTCAGAAGATGGGTCTGGGAACCACCTGTTTGTGCTGGCTGACCAGCATCTGGCTTAGAAGGCAAATACTGCAGGCTAGGGTGCACTTTGAAGGACACCACTATTCAGTTTGTTTCAATGATTGTTGGGCTCTAAAAGTGGATTGTTTTTCATGCATCACAGTTACATGTTCAAAAGGCAGATGAGCCTTCCCCTAAAACCGTGTTGTAAGTCTTATTTCATTTTTCTTGTGAAGCCAGATTTTGCTGAATAATGGAAGCTTTGTGATATTTGAGGGGGGTGTTTTTTTTTCTTTTTTATGAAAATCTCTGTTCCCCATGGTCTTTCTCTAACATTCCCTGTTAATTCCAACTGCTATTCAGCAGCCTGTACAATGTCTCTGAAACTCCAGATGTACCTCACTGTTCTGTATACAGAAATCAATCCCCCAGTGGCAGACAGAAGGGTCCACCTATTCTGGAGAGACACAGGGAAGCCACAAGCACAAGCCTTACATCAAGAGAAGTAGGTGGTTAAGGATGATTAGGTTTTGAAATGAATGTGCAGCAGGTTCTGGGCTTCTGGCTGAATCAAGATTAAACTTAAGCTGATGTCGTTTCAAGAGGTAATTTTTCACTAACTGAGAATACAGAGTGGAGAATCTTTCAGTCCTTGAAATACCCATTGTCTGAGACCACTTATCCATCTTAGCTTAATAATCATAAATGCGCAAGGAAAGGAATGGAGAGGATTTGACGTGTATTTAATATGCCATCAGTTCATAAGGGATAAATATTTCTAAATATATTTTGTGGACCACATTTTAAAAATTCACTAGTGTATACTTATTAAAATGCAGATTCGTAGACTGGATGTTTACCAAGTGTGTTTTTCAAAAGCCTTGGAACTGGTATGTTTTAATCACCTCTCCAGGTGATGGTTTTTAAACTGTTATTTCAGAATCATTTCAAGAAAATGAAAATTTTCTTCATTCACTGGAAAGAGGTTTACTTGTCTATTTTCTTCAGAATGACATTCACTCCATGTTTTCCTGGATGGATACTAAGTCAAGAATTAATCAAAAGATGGGTTTGGTAGGATAATGGCACGATAGAGTCAGACTAAATGAAATGGATCTTTGAATCGTACTCAACTGTGTGGTTTCCAAAGCAACCTAGGGGAAAAAATAACTTATAAATGAATACTCATGAAAATCAGGTTTAAGTAACAAGTTAAAAGGCGAAGAAATGGGATTGTGTATTGGGTTGCTGGATCCTAGTTACATGTCAAATTAACCACGCAATTGCTGTATCCTGAATAGAAGACAGTACTCTGCTGCAGCTGGTAAGTGTGTTGTTTAATTGACCTTCTGCAATTAGGTTAGCTTGCTGGTTCTTTCATTAGAAATTCCAATATTGTGATCATTTCTTTCAAGTTTTTTTAAAAAGCGAAAATGTAACCAGGGGTGAGCTACATATAGAGTTTACTTAGAATCGACAAATAGAAGAATGAAATAACTTGGTCAGGTAGAGTGATATATGATCATCAAACATGGAGAGCCCAAATGTCATTTCAGAAGTGGGAAAGAAAGCAAGAGTGTAAGAGAGGCGGCACTAGGGGCCTCGGTGTGTTCTCAGCCCGGGATTAATTTATCTTGGACAAGTCATGTAGTATTCCTGTGTATCAGTTCTTACATCGATCATGAAAATGACTGCGTCTGTGACAAGGTTGACCTACAAGTATTTGATAGCCAAGACCTTTTTAGGAAATGGTAGAAATTAACCGAGAGTCCAACTGCTGGGAGAAACCATCCTTTGTAAGCAGATTAGTTCAGAAGGAGCTTGCTGGTGGTCTAACAAAAGTTGCTTAGGGTTGTTCATGCAGGAGAGACATGGAATACTATGAATTAGGATAGCATCAAGGTTTATAGACTGAAAACTGAGGCAGGATCTTCCTATACTTGAGCATTAAAATTGCCGGTACTACTTTACCTGTACTCTCTTCCTGGGCCAGTCCACGATTCAATCATGCTCTCACTTGAGATGCTATTAGGAGTTTTTCCCTATAGCAATGTTGTTGAGCTGTAGCTTTCCCTCTGACTCTTCATCTTTAGGGCTGAGTTGACATGCGCAAAAATGCTGCATGCCAAGTAATACATAGTCTGTGGCTGATGCTAGCTGGTTGACACTAGCTTTTGCCAAAACTCTTCCTTCTATGATCCATGTATTGCCTAATGAGACCTAGACCTCAGTCTGGAGACTTCTTTAGTGCAAATGGAGATCTGTAAAAGTTTCTGTTATCCAAAGACTCCTGTATGTGGAGTTTTTAGCTACATGGTCAGGTCAAGACCAGGTCATGGTCAGAATGATTAGAACCATCATTTCTGCTTTAGGGATATCTCCACGCTGAGGCTTATTCCTAGCCTTTGGTTGACTAATGTATCCCTATGTTCTAGCAGGTCTTATGAGTAGGTTCCAACAGGCCACACAACACAAATGTAGATGAGTTGCTAAACGGTCTTATTAAATAAAAAACTCAGAAGCAGAAATTGGGGTTAAAGCCTGAGAGTGATCAGAGGAATAGGAAAAGCTACCTCACCTCACCAACTCTGCAGCTTCCAAAGCAAGCTACTTCCTGTCTACCCACACTTTTATGCCTTTCTGTTCTGTTCTCTCATTTGCTCTCTCAGCCCAGCTACATCACTTCCTCTTCCTGCCCAGCGCTGTCACTTCCTGTCTGTTTGTATAGACCTCCAAACCTTTGTGGTTAGTACTGGAATTAAAGGCATGTGTCACTACACTTGGCTCTATTCCCCAGTGTGGTCTTGAACTCACAGAGATCCAGACAGATTCCTGCCTCCCAAGTGATAGGATTAAAGACATGTGCTACCATTGTCTGACTTCTGTGTTTAATATAGTGGCTGGCTTTTTCCTCTGATCTCCAGGCAAGTTTTATTGGAGGATACAATATATTGGGGGACACAATACATCACCCCACACAAATGCTGAGCTCAAAGAAGAAGCAAGATTTTTATCAAGGATACAAGCCATCCGGCATTTTGTCTTTACATTTGGCATTTCTTGCTTGGATAATAGAGTTGCATTTACCCTCAATGGGTCATACATTTTGTTCTAAAATCTAAATTCAACCCAGTAAGCGTGAAAGAGAATTAAAGAAATTTTGCATAAAAATTGGGAAATATCAAATGCAACTCACTGACATAGGAGTATTACATAGCCCATGTCATGCCTAGAGGAACTGGAATGTCTACCCCAAGGATTCACACTCTGGATCAGCAGTTCTCAACTTTCCTAATTCCTTGATCCTTTAATACAGTTTCTCATGTTGCAGTGACCCCCAACCATAAAATTATTTCATTGCTACTTCATAACTATAATTTTGGTACTGTTAAGAATCATAATGTAAACATCTGATATGCAGGATATTTGACATGTGACCCCCAGGAAAAGCTCATTCGACCCCCAA